TCTAACAACATTTGGGGAACCATGAACCCTCAAGCCCAGTGACTCATTTCCTTAAGATGCTTAGTTGTGGCTAAGAAATTTCCATAACTTTGCCCCCTGTGTGTTCCACTATATATTTGGATAGTATTTGCATCCCATTTAAATTCATATGAGGGTGTGTTAGAAATTTCATGGAAAAATTTCATTAATTTTTAAATTCCATCTATTCATGAAATTCTTAAAGTCCTTTTGTAAGTAGATGTATTCTCTGTCAAACCTCTATATATGTGTTCATGAGTGTAGTCCCATTTACTCCCCACACATGTTCAGCTTGTACGTCTACCTATATAAATATCCACTCATAGATTTTCATTACGTTATTGTAGAATTGTATTGGTGGTGTTGTTAGGTGCCTTGGAATTGATTCCAACTCGTAGCGACCTTGTGCACAAATGAATGAAACACTGCCAGGTACTGCACCATCTTCGTAAATGTTACAGTTGCGCCCATTGCTGCTGCTACTGTGTCATTCCATCTCACTGAGGGTCTTCTCTTTTTCACCAACCCTCCAATTTGCTAAGTATGTTGTACTTCTCCAGGGACTGGTCCCTCTTGATAACATGTCCAAAGTATGAGAGACAGTCTCGCCGTCCTCCCTTTTAAGGAGCATTCTGGCAGTATTTATTCCAACACAGAATTGCTTGTTCTTCTGATAGCCCATGTTATTTTCAATATTCTCCAACACCATAATTCAAAGGCATTAATTCTTCTACAGTCTTCCTTACTAATTTTCACATGCATATGAGGTGATTGAAAATACCATGACTTGGATCAGGCACATCTTAGTCCTCAAACTGATATATTTGCTCTTTAACACTTTTAAAGATGTCTTGTGCAACAGATTTGACTCATTCAGTACATTGTTTGATTTTTGACTGCTGTTTCCATGAGCGCTTGATTGTGGATCCAAGCCTCATTTTTCTCCTACGGAGAGGCTGGTTGGCTCAAACTATGGACCTTGTGGTTCACAGTCCAGTAATTATAATACAGAGCCACTTTGCTCCTACTGTTCGGATAGTGTAAGTACTATTTGTCTAGTCTGAAATAAAATGAAATATTGTATCGTATCCGGGGTTCATCTTAGAACATGTGTTACTAAAGATTCTTTCATTAGTAGTTTTCTGACATTTTGACTATTTATAACAAAAAAGGTACATACCCTGTTTCTTTAAAACTATTGGTTAGGTGCCACCTGTTTGGATAGTGTTGGTTGGTTGGTTATGTGCCATGGAGTTTGTTCTGACTCATAGCAACCATGTTTAGGGTTTCCAAGGCTGTAAATCTTTCCAGGAGCAGAATGCCTCATCTATCTCCTATGCAACAGCTGGAAATTTTGAACTGCTGACCTTGAGGTTAGCAACCCAACTCGTAACTACTATGCTACCAGAGATAATGTAGTCGAATTTAATTTGTTGATTAGGGATCCTTTGCTGGTGCAAACAATTAGGCACTTAAGTACTAGTTAACAGGTTGTCAGTGTGAACCTACCTCTCATAAAACAGATCTTGTGATCTTCCAAAAGGTCACAGCCTTGAATGTCTTATTGAACAGTTCTACACTACACAGATGGGATTGCCAGGTATTGGCATCAACTTGATGGGAGCTAACAACAAAAAATAATTTGTTGATTAGATACAAGATTTTCATGCATTTATCGCAATGTGAGCTAATAGCATTAAAAAGATAGATTGGCGATGCAATTCAAAAGGCTTTTTAATGTAGTTTTCCATTTTGATGGCTGTTTTGGATTTAGGTTTGTTCACTGTGCATGCTTTTTTGTTCACGAATCTTTTTTTGATTTTTTTTGCTTCCATCTGACACCATGTGTTGGAAGTCGAATTTTAAAATGTGAAGCCTTGCACATGCTTACAAAATGACTTAGATCTTATTTCTGTTTCATGTGTTCTTAAAAATACCAGCTGCTGCTTGGTTGAAAATGTAATTTAACTTGACTGACACATAAATTTTATAGTTTGTAAATATGGATAATTTTTCTTTGTTTGTGTTCATAAGCTTGTTTGTCCATATGTTAATGTGTCTCTTGATTTAATTGCCTTTCCTTATTTTAAAAATCAATAAAAACAACAACAAAAACCTTGGGGAAAGCCTTTATACTTTAAAAATTTTTGAAAATATGTTTTCATTTTTTGGAGTTCACACTTGTACTAATAGAATTTCATCTAATTTTAGGATTTACTAAGTATTCTAGTTTAGAAATTTTATTATTTTGTTAGAAGGCTTTCGGTATTGTTATAACTTTATATTGTATTTGTAGAAGCAATTGCTTTTGGATATGTGAAAGGAACTGTTATTAGGTTCAGTTTTAAAAATTTAGTAGCTAGATTTAGTTATATATATGCAGGGTATATTAAATTCATTCATTTATATTGATGGGTCTTAATAATTTGGGGATCACAAAGCCTTTTGGAAAATTGGTGATTACTTACCTTCTCACCAGAAAAGTACACACACAGATTACTACAGATCTAAGAACCCAGTGAAGGTTTGTTTTGGAAATGGGATAATATATTTATGCATAACTAGAATATAAAGTAATGTATAAGATCTTTAAGAAAAATGTAAACAAATTAATATCAATATGCAAAGCAGGATCAATTAATGTCAGTGTTTGGAGATAACATGTGGAACAGGCATGGGAACAGTGTGGCTTCATGGAAAGTATTGGAATTTGAAGGTGCTATAGTGGCACTGTGGGTTAATGTGCCAGACTGCAAAGCTGTTTGACTGCAAGGTCAGTGGTTCAAGCTCACCAGCTGCTTCTTGGAAACCCTATACAGGGTCGCTATGGGTCGGAATTGACTAGATGGCACTTAACAACAACAACATAGGGTAAGCATTAGACTGATAACCACAAGGTCATCAATTCAAACCCACCAACCCCTTCTCAGAAACTCTATACAGGGTCTCCAGGAGTTGTAACTGACTTGATGACATTTAACAATAACGGCAACATGATAAGTATTAAGAGGACAAAACACAAAACCCATTCCAAGCAGAGGTGATAAGCATGAATAAATACAGGGAGGCTGGAGAGTACCTAGTTTGTTTGGATCTCCATGATAATTGGAATAATCTCCTTCAGGATGACTGTTACTGATTGGCTTTTGACTTCTGTATTGTGCCCAGCGCACAGTACTTATCATATAGACTCAATAACTGTATGTTGAATTTTTGAACTCCTTATTAAGGTTCCTAAGTCCACCATCCTCTGTATCCTAACACATTGCATATTTTCTCTCATATGTGTACTTCTGTAGAGAAACAAGTTAAATGTATTATTTCTATGACTTTGCATAATTTTTGGCTTTAAAAAGAAATTTAAAATGTAACTAAGGTGGAATAGCTTGACTGCAGACTTTTTAGATCACAAATGTGAAAACTTCTTTCACACATTCAGCTATCTTTTTATGATGCAAAGGTTGCTACTTTGGAGAGGTTTTGGAGGGAAAGATTAAATAATTTAAAGAGAAAGCAACTTCTGACTGGGAGTGATTTTAATCCATGTAAAGTGTTAGAAAGGAATTTAAAGAAGATTATTGATGGTCAAGATTATAAAAAGTATTTTCTATTTATTAGGTATAGTATTAAGCACTTAAAAATACAATTTTACATATGAGAATGAGAGTATTATTATTCCTCTTTCACAGAGAATAAAACTGAATCAGGCTGCTAACCTCACGTTTGGCAGTTCGAAACTACCAGCGGTTCCACGGGAGAAAGATGAGGTGTTCTGCTCCCTTAAATATTTACAGCCTCGGAAACCCTGTGCAGAGTCACTATGAGTCGGAACCAACTCCACGGTACTTAACAACAACAACAAAAAGGCAGAAAAGTAATTTGTTCAAATTCATACCAGTAATAAGTAGCAGAGGTGGGATTTGAACATCCACAGTCTCAGCCTGTTTGCAGCAAGTCACTTTACCTCTTTAGAGCTAGACAAGTTTATTGCTTTAAAAAAGTTTTTTTAAAACTGTTTTAGCTTTTGGGGTCCTGGTGTGGTACTGTAGGACAAGCACTGAATTGCTAAATGCTAGGTTGGCAATTCAAACCTACCATCCTCTTCTCAGAAACCCAATACAATGTCGCTCTGCACCAGAACTGACTTAATGGCACATAACAACAACAGTTACAATTTTAACTTTTATTCTAATTTTATTCTTAATTTTGCTTCTGATTTTACTTAATGCAAGAGCAAACCTGAGATCTATTCCTATATATGTACACAATGTAGTCCTAGATACATCATATGTTGTTGTTATGAAGTACTATTGAGTCGATTTTGGTTCATAATGACCTTGTATAGGGTTTTTGAAGTTGTAAATCTTTGAAGGAGCAGGAAGCCTTTATTTCTCCTGTGGAACTGCTGGCCTTGTAATTCAAAGTCCAGTGTTTATCCTATAGAGCCACTGTACTTCCCAGAAATATTGTAATTGTTGTTGTTGTTATTGTTAACTGATGCAAAATCAGATCTAACTCCCAGCAATGCCTTATAGGGTTTCCGAGGTATAGCTAGTGGGTTTGAACCTCCAATTTTGTGGTTAGCAGCTCAATGCTGGTCCTGTAGCACTTACACCAGGACTCCAATATATTGTATGTTGTTGTTGTTAAGTGCCATCAAGTCTATTCCGACTCATAGCAGCCTTGTGTAGGGTTTCAAGAAGCAACTTGGTGAGTTTGAACCACTGACCATGAATATATCTTATGTTGTTGTTGTTAAAAGCCATGGAGTTAGTTCCAACTTAGAGCAAACTTGAATAGGATTTCTAGTGAGTGACTGGTGAGCTTGAACCGCCAACATTGCAGTTCAAACTGACCTTGCAGTCCAGTGCATTAACTCACAGCACTACAATAGGATTGCTTAATTCATATTTGCTTAAGTGGACAGACTTTGTGACAAAGTACTTCACCCTTTTGTAACAAAGTTGTTTTCTGACATACAGGTTTTAAATGCACAGAGAGCAGGATACAAAGCAGCGATAGTTCACAATGTTGATTCTGATGACCTCATTAGCATGGGATCCAACGACAGTAAGTACAGGTATCACTTTTCTTCTCTCCTGTTTGATAGATCATTCAAAACTAAAAATTAGCAGGATTTCCCTTCTTTCATATTGTGTTTACATAGCAAAATTTCTTATGTATCAGAAAGATAATCAGAAAGATAGAGATACAATTTCTTTATTCGTTTGTAACAATTTTGTATACAACAAAGGTCAATAAAGGAATCAACTCACTGTTTTGTGAACATTTGGATGTATTTTGAACTTGAATGTTTTACTTTAGAAGACTTACTGATACTTCATTGAGAACCAAAGAAAAATCAAAGCTTTAGATAGAGGTAAACGTGCTGAGTTCATGATTTATTTAGCGATTCATAACACTACGTTTTAGGTTATGCAGATATTCCAGTAACAACTCTAGTCTTGTGAAATTTTAAAATCCCCAGACTTGTACTTTCTTTCTTATACCAGTTTATTATTAGCCACTTAATACACAGCGGTAAGCTAAAGAGTATTGCTGCAAAAGTCATAAACACTTTTTAAACAGAAATACCAAAATATGAAACTGTTGTTTCTCGACATATCCTCCAGATAAGTCTGTATCTCCATTTATCCTATCACTAGAAGGAAGTGGTCTTCTATCCTTCTAGTGATAGGCTAAATACTGAACTGCTAACTATAAGGTTGTCACTTACAACCCACTAGCTGCTCCTTGGAAACCCTAAACAGGGTTGCTATGAGTTGGAATTGATCAAAGGCACTTAACAACAACAACCCTTCCTTGTTACAGTATGTCAAAACAGCACTTTTGGCATCCATGTGGGACTCAAATCGTATTTCTTTGAATTATTCTATGAGTTTGGGGAACAAAAAAAGTCTGAAGTGGTTAGATTAGGCTATAAGTTTCCCAAAGAAATTCTTGTACAACAGCCCTTGCTACTTTTGAAGAATGAGCAGATACATAGTTGAGATGGAAAAAAGTCACTCAGTGTAATTTTCCTGACCATTGCAGTTTTCAGTTATTTTAAAACATCTTCATAGTAAGTCCCCGTTATTGCTCTAAGGACATTGAGAAATTTTACCAATATTATACCCTTGGAATCCCAGAAAACAGCCACTATAACCTTCTGAGTTGCCCTCTCTTTCTTGAATTTAATTGATCTAGCAGATTCCATCAGAAGCCATTATTTTGATTGGAACTTTTTTTTTGAAGGCACTCTAACAAGACTCTAAGACAAGTGTGTTACTGAGAACTTGGCTACAGCCATCCAGTGATCACAGAGATGGGTTTAAACACATTCTGTTTGGAATAAACCTATGCATACATGAACTGGAATCATACTAGCAATACTTTTTGACTCACCCTCCTAGATTGGTATGTCTATAACCTTTCATTTAAAAAAGAGCGTCTTCTTACCTTATTCTATACTAAATATTAACTTGTAGGAAAAATTACCTAATTTTAGTGAAATATAACTGGTTTTAGTCAAGTTGTAACTTTCAAACTATATACTATGACTTTAATTTCTATTATTCAGGGCATTGTGGGCTTTACCAAAACCTTTGTATGTGTTACTTACATGATTTGTTCTCAATGTTCATGATTAGAAGCTCCTTTTATTTTGTTTTTCATTTAGCATCGCTCATAACTGTATCTTGGTATGTTTGTTGTTGTTGTGTGCCATCGAGTCAGTTCTGACCCATAGTAACCCTGTATAGCATTTCCGAGGAATGTCTGGTGAGCTTGAACTTCCTACCTTGTGGTTCAAAAGTTCCATTAGTTTATATGTCTACTGAAGAATGTGGAGCAAAGGACAGAACGCTTTATTTATGACTTTACCAAACAGTCTTTTTTTAATACCCTAAAAAACAGTGTCTTCTAGTTATTTGAGTAAAAGTCTGCCTTTATATCTGTTGTAATCTTAAGCAGAAGTATAATAAAACGTAAAATTTATTGAGTCCTTCAGTTAATTTCTTAATATTTTAAATTATTATTATTTTAAGCTTCTAGTTGATTAAATCTTCACTGATTGTTTTTGTTAAGTGCCATTGAGTTGGTTCTGACCCATAGCGACTCTGTGTAGCGTTTCTGAGGAGTAGTTGGTGAGCTTGAACCACTGACCTTATGCTTCAAACCGACTTTGCTGTCTAGCACATTAACCCACAGTGCCTCGCCATAAGTACTGTCAAATCGGTTCTGACTCATAGCGACCATGGATGGGGTTTTTGTTACTAAGTGCTGTTAAGTCAGTTTTAACTCACAGCAACCTTGTAGGGTTTCCAAGGAGTGGCTGATGGATTTGAACCACTGACATTGCAGTTCAAACCAACCTTGCAGTCCAGTGCTTATCCTACAGTGCCACCCCAAGATTCCTTATTGATTGTATAAACTAAGTTGTTGTTGTTAAGTGCCGTGGAGTCGGTTCCGACTCATAGTGACCCTACACAGGGTTTCTGAGGCTGTGAATCTTTATGGGAGCAGAAAGCCTCATCTTTCTTCCATGGAACAGCTGGTAGTTTCGAACTGCCGACTTTGAGGTTAGCAGTCTGATTCGTAACCACTATGCTACTAGAGCTCCTTAGAAACTAAGTAGTACCTTAAAAAATCCTAGCATTTCAGGAACAGTATGCCTACCATCTCTGAAGAAGAGGAATTGATAGAAACAGTTTATTTATGAAATAAACAAGGACTATTACTGTAGATTTGGCGTAATTTCCTTTTCCTCCGTCTCTGAATTATTTCTTCTCTCTTTTTTTTTTTTTTTTTTCATGTCAGTAACTCTTAGGACCTATATACATTACTGGCAAAATGGAGAGCACACAAAATCTGGAAATAGTCCAGAATTTTAATTCAAGCTCACACTTGTATTAGGTGCATAACTTTGAGCAAATTACTTATTCTCAATATGTTTTGCCTTTAGCAATAACTCAAGATTTTCTCAAGGGCTAAATATGTTTTGAGTTGAACAAACCGATTGGTATTTGTAAACTAATATTTACTCTTTTGACATGTTTCCAATAAAAATTTTGTAAGTTAGAAGTGTTATTTCCCTTTAACACATATTTTGTCTTTGGAATGCCATAAAAATTTTCTGTGATATCAGGAGAATAGTCCTAAGGAAAATGTGCTAAAATTTAAAAGTAGCATATAACCACATAATCTTGCTGTTGCCATGGAAATGTTCCAATTTAGTTATTATATTTCAAAGGTTGTTCAGCATCTCAATCGTTGAATTTATTTTATGGATTAATTTCTGCAATCGTTTGCTCCATCTTGCATATGGGTCTATGTATTTAAACATTTTATATATTCCAAAGGCAAATGTTAAGATTTTATCATTTTCATCTTTACTGTTACTTGGTAGAGGAATGAAAAACATGAATTTTTCAAAAAGATCATGTATCTATTCATCTTTTCAAGGCTGAGTTCCTAGCTATAAGGGATATTACAAGTGTTCTAAGAAAGGAATTTCTTATATCTCAAAGCAAGGAATCTTTATCAGCCCTTCGTTCCCAACACTTCACATAAGGAATACATCAGTTTTTATTTCAGCCAGGATATGGGGTAGAGTGAACCAGTAATATTTGTTGTCTTGAGGAGGCAACAGAATGTGGTGGAAAAAACCACCAACTTCAGAACCAGACAATGTTGATAATGTGAACAACCTGTGCCCTTGGGAAAGTTACTTAATCTTTCTGAGCCCATTATTATATAAAAATGTGAATCATTTTAATGTTTATTGACCTTACCAGGTTGTAGAGATTGTATGTCAGAAAGTCTGTGAGAAAACCCACGCAGGGACAGAGTAGGAAGAGCCTAGATAGACGTGAGAACCCTCAAATTTGAGTCTGTTTTATAACCAGGGGAAGTTTCCTGTTTCCTTCCTTCAATATAAATATTTTTGACTGCCTACTTTGCATCATCATAACTTGTTGTTGTTGTCAGGTGCCATCGAGTCGGAACCGACCCATAGCGACCCCATGCACAGCAGAACGAAACAATGTCCAATCCTGGGCCAACCTCACTACCGCTGCCACACT